GAAGAAGAAGAAGAAGAAGAAGAAGAAGAAGAAGAAGAAGAAGAAGAAGAAGAAGAAGAAGAAGAAGAAGAAGAAGAAGAAGAAGAAGAAGAAGAAGAAGAAGAAGAAGAAGAAGAAGGAAGAAGAAGAAGAGGAAGAAGAGGAGGAGGAGGAGGAGGAGGAGGAGGAGGAGGAGGAGGAGAGGATGAAGAGAAGGAGGAGGAAGAAGAAAAGAAGAAGAAGAGGAGGAGGGGGAAGAGGAGGAGGGGGAAGAGGAGGAGGGGGAGGAGTAAATGTTACAATTGCCGTAAAACACAGAAAGAGATTATGTGGGGAAACCGCCTTGGGTGGGTGGCTGCAGCCAGCAAAATGTTGAATTCCCTTTCTCCTTGCCCCAAGGCCTCAGTCCAAAATGGGGCTTTGCTCTCCCCTCCTGTCTTTTACGAAGAAATAAAAACAGTTACAACTCAGATGTAGCTGCAGCTGAGCCCTTCTGAGAAAGAGAGTACAGAAACGAGGCCTGCAGTTTGGCACGTGTCTCTTACATGCTCGCCCCTTTCCCTTAAAAGTCTTCCCCTCCCTCCCGCTTGGGATCCACGGTGGCCAATCTGGCGTACCACAAAGTAAACAGCAAAAGTTCCAAGGATGAATTTACTCCGGTCTGACACAAAGAAACCACAGCCGGAAGCTGGCCCAGCCTGATGCGAACCAAGCCAGGAATGCACAGCTGCTGAACTGCCTGTGGTCTTCCACAAGATCAGCTCTGAGCTCTTAAACATCGTGGCCTCTGCCTCGATGACCCAAAATGGCCTCCCTAGGGCAGATGAGCAGGTAGAGGTCAAGAATGGACAGAATCAAACTTTGGTAAAGATTGCTGGTTGTAGTGGAGGTGAGTAGAAATTGGACTCTCTGCAATGGTGGAACAGTGTCTTGGCAGCTATCTTTACCTCTTCCAGAAGTCCTAAGGAAGAGGGCTTTATTATGGTTAGTTCCTAGCTTATTCCCAGGGTAGAGGGAGGGAACCAGGAAGAACATTATTGGCTACTACTGCTGTTGTTGACATGCCTCTCCTGTGAAATCTGGAATGATGACGAAAGCAGCCAAGAAATGCCTCCCTCTTCCTCCTCTGGTTTGTAGCCAAAGATTCCCAGACTTTTCCAGCAAAGCTGAACTATTTCCCTACCAGTTCTGTGAGTTCCAAGTCTTCCCAATCCTTCATATTTGTCAGGGATATCCCAAGACATGAAGTGGAACTGCGACCGCCCACGATGGTCGCACGAGGAAGACTGCGATCGCCTGCAGTGATGCTTGTGCGAATGGGGTAATAACTGCCCACGAACTGTCCTTTAACCATCATCCCACCTCTGGGGTCTGAAAGGTCCTTATTCTAATCTTTCTGTGACATCACAGAAGTCCAGCCAATAGTTATGGCGCAAGGCTTTTAAGCAAGAGGCATGTTTGCAGCTTTGCCATTGAATGAATGAATGAATGAATGAATGAATGAATGAATGAATGAATGAATGATCCATCCATCCATCCATAAATCTATACATTTTTTGTCTAGCTATGATCTATATCTGTCTATCTGTCTAACCATCTGTCTCCTATTCTATTCTATTCT